TGCTATTAAAAAAAAAAAAAAAACCCCCTTGAAAATTTTTTTATTTAAAAAATTTTTTTTTAAAAAACCCCCCCCCCCCCCCCCCCCCCCCATTTTTTTTTTTTTTTTTTTTTTTTTTTTTTTTTTTTTTTTTCCTCTCTCTCTCTTGGTTTAGAACTTGAAATGTGTCTGAAAGGTAATGTGAGAGAGGGGGGGGGGGAATCCCCCCCCCCAAAAAAAACAATTGGCATTTTTTCATTCTTCAACAAGATTCGTTCTTCTTAGATAAATCTGCAACGAAAAGGTCACTGCCAACGTATGAAGAAGAAGAAAAAATCATATTGAGTTTCCACGAGGTCACTTTTTACTTGTACTCTAATCGACATATCATGATAGCATTAAAACAACCATAACAACGGAAACGAGAGAGAAAAAAAATCCCAAATATTAAAAAAATTTTCTCCCTTCTTCCATACGAAAAAGACCAAAAAAGTTTTTTTTCCTACTCCATCGCTCATAATAGTAGTATATCGACTTAAAAAAAAAAACAGCATCTTCCATCATGACCTTCTTTAGTCGTCGTGTTGTCGTTGTATGCGGGGAATTATCCATCAATCGACTTTCCTTTCCCCAACCTCCTTGTTTATTTTTCCAACAACTCATCTGGTATCCCCCCCCCCCTTCTTCCTCTCCGTCCATCACTATACCCCTTCTTCCATTACAAACCACGTCTCGCACATATTAAGACCTCGCCTCCTCCAACTCCAGCTCCAATTGTCTGATCCTCTCACTCTGCTCCTGCGAGCCTGCACCAACCTTTTTCTTGAGTGTCTCAACATCAGTCACAAGCTTACTGATGATCTGCGTCTGAGCAGAGATCTTTTCGGTCTGGGAAGTGATAACCACCGCCTGCTGAACAAGCAGCTGCTTGATTTGTTCGAGCGAAACCTCGACAGTCACGCCCTCAGGCGCAACAGTTGGGAGGGTATCAAACACGGCCTTGGTGACGGATGGAGGCACGGGGGCCTCCATGATGACCGAGGTCCTGGGGGTCCTGACGGGGGATCTGGATCCCGGAGGGGTGGTATTGATCGGCAGTGGTCGGGGGTAGCTGGCACGCTTGCTGAGCCTCTTCAGGTTTTCTGGCCGCCCAATTTCCTCGAAGCTTGATGTGGCGTTTGATTCGGCGTCGGATGAGGACTCCTCCTGATCTTGGTACTTGTTGGCCATGGCCGAAATGGATGCCTTTTGATCGGTAACGCTGGGAGGAGAACGAGCGGCAACGGGTGATTGTGCGGGCTCGGGCTCCCTCTTGGGGGAGGGTTGAGGAGCTGGCGTCGCAGCCGGGGCAGGGGCAGGAGCAGGAGCAGGAGCAGGAGCTGCGGCAGGAGGAGGAGAAGATAGGATTGAGGCAGGCGGCTTGTAGTCGGCCGCCACTTCGACGGGGGCATGACCCTCGTAGATGCTCTCGAGGTCGATCTTTGAAGGAACGGCGGATTTCCCCTCGAGCCACTCAGCAGCAGACACGGCCGGCTTGACACCGGGGGCGGGAGGGAAGATGTCGGACTGGAAGGTCTCCGCGCGACGAGGAACGGTGAAAGAGATGGGCTCAATCCAGCTGTCGTTGACCGTCTTGTAGGCTCTCATGACTTCGTTCTCGCGGATCTATTTTCCTGTTAGATTGTGGTTCCCTAAACTTCGTAACTCATCATAGTAGACCCACATCAAGACCACGGCGAGGCACAAAAGCGATACCGCGCTGAGGATCAGCAGATTTGTACTCGGACAAGAACTCAAACTTGTCATTTTGGTACTCGAAATAACGAATGTTGCCGTCGCTAAGAAAACGTCAGTATTTCATGCGGCACAATTGCCATAGGGTACCTTTGAACTCACCCCTTGCCAGCGAGGTACAAGCAGTTGGAGCCATCATCTGTCGTAGCGGTCAGCATCATCCTCCAGCCACGGAGAATTCTCGCGCAAACTCACCCCAGAAAGGCATGCAAACACCAGAAATGGAATCAAGCGAGGTGAATCCACCAATGGGGTCCTTGCGACCGGGTTCCCACAGACCAATTTGTCTCTCGCTCATCCTCGAGAAGCCCGTCGTGGCAATGCGGTTGTGCTCGCCCATCCAGACCGCGCGACTGTTCTTTGCGCCCTCGTGCCCCGCATACTCATGCACCGGCGACTCCTGGCGAACATCCCACACGCGCAGCTTCTTGTCCCTGCAAGTAGTAACCAGCATTGCGCCGTCGGCACTCCACGACATGCTCTGCACGATCTCGCCATGCTTCAGAGTATGGCTCGACTGTCCAGTGCCGACATCCCACAGCTTGATGGTCTGGTCGCCAGACGAGGAAGCAAGGATGTTCTCGGCGGCCGGGTTGAACAAGACGTGCCCAACCTTTCTTGAGTGGCCCTGGAGCTTGCTGACCGGCGCGACGTCGACGATGGTCTCGGCATCGGTGTGGAGCGTGAAACCCTGGGGCACCTCCCATATAAAGACTTTGCCGTCGTCGGAAGCGGAGGCGATGATGCGGTCATTGAAGGGGTTCCAGTCTGTGTCCAGCACAGTAGCTGTGTGGCCGCGGAATAGGGGTATTTGGTCTGGCAGCTTGCCGCGCTCGTTGACGGGAATGACGGCGAAGGCGCCGCCGCCGGATGACTCCCAGTTGACCGAAATGTACTCGGGGTTAACCTGGTGAGAAGAGACAAAGCATGTCAGGATTCTGCGGCGTGCTTTTGTGTTATTTTATCTAGGCAGGCCTACCTTTAGCAGATTGGTATCCCAGGCATTGCGGCTGATGTGGAGGTTGTCGTAGCAGAACTCCCTCTTGGTGGGCTTGCCGAAGACATGTCCTGCGCAAAAGAAAAAAAAAGGATAATGGTCAGCAGGACTGAAGATGAGCTAAAGTGAAACTATGTAATATGTGCTCGTCGCATGCGCAGCAGGTTTGCTTATGCGACGAGAAGCTTCGTGGTATCTAGATCACGCGACACCGTAGCCAAAGCTCTTGGGGGAGAGGATCGGGAAGCTTCGTCCAAAAGGAGAGTGTTTTTGAAAAGGAGGGGGGTGGGGGGAGGGGGCGGCCTACGATATTTCGACGCGCGCACGAATCGACCGGCCATTGCGGATATTAGGGGAAGTCGTGATTCTTCACTCCGGTGAGGATGATTAGAAGTGAGTTTTCTAAAAAATGGTGAGGTTGTATGTCGCAAAAGTCGCGACGGCAAGAGAACGAAAAGAGAGAAATTTAGATTATGGTAAAAGTGTAAAAAACAAAGCCCGACTCGAAAAAGCTCCTTGTGCTAAGCAGAAGAGAGGAGGGAGATAAGGTCTTTCTATGGAGGAAGCACTGGCCGCACCGCTGTTGCTGCTCCTGGCGGGCATGGGTCCATCGAATTAGCGCGCCTGGACGGTCGGGTCGTTGTTCTCTCACCGTTAGCGCGGGTGGCCCGTCCACACTTCCCTGTGCTGCCATTGGATGCAGTGCAGGGATGCCCCTCCCAAAGCATTCTGGAAGCTCTTCCCTTCTTTCCCGAGATGTTCGATTCCGCCAGTTGCTTCCCAAGTGGCACTGACGAGATTTCACTGCCCCTCACTGATCGGAAAAAGTTTCTTTTTTACCAAGAATGTTACTAAATTCGAGAACTCACACCCCCAATGCCATTCACGCCTTTTTTTGTGTTTTTTTTTGGGGAGGGTCCTCTCATAACAAAAAACCATGGAAGAACAGCTCCAGGTGAGATTGAAGGGGTGGTAATATAACATGGGTGGGGCGCCCCTATTCCTACGTCTCCAGTCTTTAGTTTTGCCCATGGACGAGATCCCTTTTGTATCGCAACCCCACCGCCAACTCCATCTCTTCTTCAGGAAACCAACAACCACACCCAGCCAGCCCCCCGTGATAACCCCCAAGCTCACTGTCTTTGTCATCGAGAACTCTGACAAGGCCGGCTGGTGTAGTGGTTATCACGTTTGTCTCACACACAAAAGGTGCCAGGTTCGATCCCTGGGTCGGTCAACTGAGAACAAGAACCCCCCCTGAAAAAGGGGGTTGTCTCCTTTTTTTTGTTCTCCAGGCTCTTGACGATAGGGACTTCTTGTATAACTAATATGTCTAACCTAATCTGAGCTCTTCCAAAGTGTTGTCCCTTTCCGACGACTCTTGGTCCGACTCACTTTACAAGTCCTACCAATTCCAATCTACGTCTCGCTTCTCCTATCACTGCTTTACTAAAAAAAAAAAAAAAAAAAAAACATAATCAATTATCCACCACCCTGAAACCATCTCATAAAATAATGCCAGTCGACTCCCCCTCGCAAATCTGTGACATCTCTCCCATCAGCAACAATTCCTCCCTCAGGGATCGCTTCTGCGTGCTAGCAACCAAGCTAGAGTCTCCCTCAAGCATACTCAGTGTTGTCCTGTCATCCTCGTGGACCGCCGGTGACATCGGTGAGATTGCATCATGCCCCTCATCGCCGTCCACCGGCCGACCCTTTTTCTCCAAAGCTTCAAGCGACAGAACTAGACGGTCCCTACCAGCCAATGTCAACGCGCCCGTCTTGTTTTTGATCAAAGCCTTGAGCTCTTCCTCCCTCAACTGGTGAAGCTGCGCGAGCGTGCAGTCCACCTCGATCGACTGAGGTGTTGAAGGTGGGGAAATGAAGTTGTGATTAATAACACCCGAATCAGATGACTTTGCTCCAGCCCAGCCTTCATCACTGCCGCTACGAAAAGCTCTCGAGCTTGAAGTGGCTGACCAAGGGTTTGAAAAGAAGGTTTGTGGGCTATCTGGCTGAGCATAGGTAGAAGAGATTGGACTGGGACTAATGAAAGTAATCCCCTGGTCAGCCAAAAGATTCTCTGAATAAGGGGGGGGGGGGTGGATAAACCCACTCTTCCGAACCCTCTCGCTCGGAGATCTTGGTGTTAATACATGGGAGCAGTGGATAAGTTCGTGCGCTGGAACTAAACTCGTCTGTATGGTGTTGACTAGAAGCTTCACTGAGCCCATCTAAGGAAAAGTTTTGGTCCACCGTGTCTAGACAATTGGCCAGTTAGCAAAAGTAGTGATCTAGTTTTGATCGTCATCGAAAGGTTCACCTCGAACAGCTTTCTGAACCCCTAGCTGAAAAGAGCTTCGTCGGTATGCGTTCGGCTTGAGGTAGACCGCCGGCAGAGTTAGATCTGGTATATCAGTTCCAACGTCGTGGTGCTCAAGGGTATGTATCAACTCATTTCCGTCCTGGTCTTCGCCTTCATCCATTCCCCTGCAGTCGCCGACGTGTCCCTTGCCACGAAGAGACAGGAAAACCGAGCTGCTCGTTCTCAAAAGGCGTTTCACAGGTGATTGAGGGCGATCCTTGGCCGAATGTTCAGCTGCCGCGGCTGCCAGGTCATCGAGGTCCGTCCTGGCATCCTCGGAGCAGTAGTCATCTTGATGGTGATAACGGACCTTGACTGAATTAAACCAGCTTTGTCTCTTCTTTAGTTGGCGAGATGGCCAAGGCTGCTGCTCTGTGACCACAGAGGTAGCGTGTTCCTTGTGGTTGAATAATCGCGAGGTCCGGCGACGTATTGTTGCAAAGACTGAGAGCCGGGAGCTCTTGGAGCGCTTGACCATATCCATGTCTGTCTGGCTTCCAGAGGCAGATGACCTCGAGAAAATAGGTGCGTTCTCCATCCTGGCAAAACCGACCGATGATGGCATGAAATGAAAAAGAGAGAAACGGTCTTGTTCTGTGGGATATCAGACCGGGATCGGAGCGAGACTCCTGACTACCCACACTCCCCACGGCGACGGGTAGATGGATGGGTAGATGGTTGGATGGATGGATGAATGGATGCAAAAATGATCCAGAGTTTGAATTTGGAAGAAGAGTGGAAAAGGATGATGGGGTACAGAGTAAAAGCAATCCCTTCCTTTAAGATGCAGGAAGGCGCATTCTGAGTGCCGGAGCACTCCGGCCTTTCCCAGGACTAGGAAAGGGCCATTTCAATGAAGGTCTAGAAGACAACGGAAGCCTCCGATGAGCCGATACAAGTGGATAGAGCCTGTCCAATTTGACCATCTGCTTTCAGGAGTTTGTCTTCGAGTCAAGTAGGCAAGATAGTCAGAGAAGGGACGATGTAATTATGAGGCAAAGTCCCAATGGCACAATGCAAAAACGAGAAGCCGCGAATCCCATCAGACTATTTGGACCTCTCTCTCTCCTAAAACTGCGATGAATATGGGCCTTCCACTTGCTTCCTCAGGGAAGCATACGGACAGCTTGGAGTCTGAACGGAGTGATAGTCAATTATATGCAAGCCATTGTGATGCGAATGTGATGTGACCAATCACCGCGTAACCAGTGACTGGTTTACGCTGTATTGACACGAGAGAGCCTCCTGCGCAATAAAAACTTGACAGAAAAACCAAATAATCCAGTCTTGGGGACGGAATGTTAAAAAGTTTTGTGAGGTGGGTGATGTGTAAGTTTGGGGAGCTTTGACCAACCAGGAAATATCCAAATAAACCAAGCCAACCATGACATCTTTGGAACCAAGCAGCATTTCTGCAAAGCTTCCAATTGACCAAATCACCCTCTTAGCAAGCCACGCAAGCAGCAAACGAACCATTCTCGAACCAGTTGTGCTCGGCAACTGTCTAGATCAAGGCGACCTCGAATCTCAAAGAAAACAGAATACCAATTAGACAAACCGACCGCGAACTCGGCTCCCCCCCCGCCCACCCCGGCCATGGCAAGCAAAGCTTCCCGTTGGGCAGACGACGGGGAAGACGCCGCGCTCGAAGCTCAACGAAAGAAGGAGAAAGAAGAAAAGAAGCGCCTCAAAGCTGAAAAGGCGCGCAAACTTGAAGCCGAGAAACAAGCACGCGAAGCAGCAGCAGAAGCAGCAGAAGCAGAAGCAGCAAGTCAGCAGCAAGATACCGACAGCGCAAATGGCCCCCCATCAAAACGACGAAAAGTCTCCCCCGAGCGCGCAACCTCGAACGGCGCCGCCAATTCCAGCAGACTCTTGCGCTTTGAAGGAGGGACTTTTACCAAGTCACGCAGCGTAGAAAACTATGACAAGCTGAACGACATAGAAGAAGGCGCATACGGCTGGGTCTCGCGCGCGCGAGAGCTCTCGACGGGCAAAGTCGTCGCCTTGAAACGTCTAAAGATTGATCCCAAAGATCGAGGCGGCCTGCCCGTCACCGGCCTCCGCGAGATTCAAATACTCAAAGACTGCGATCACCGAAATATAGTCAAGCTGCGGGAAGTAGTAGTAGGGGACGATACATCCAAAATAGAAAAGTATATACAATCACCGGCCCTCACCCCCCCCCCTTTCCCCCTCCGTTTCCTCTCCCGTTCCCAGAAACTAACTTGAAGACTCTTCTTCAAAGCATCTTCCTAGTCCTCGAATTCCTCGAACACGACCTCAAATCAATCCTCGAAGACATGCCCCAGCCCTTCCTCGCCTCTGAAGTCAAGACGCTCCTCCTCCAGCTCGCCTCGGGCCTCTCGTACCTCCACGACAGCTACATCCTCCACCGCGATCTCAAAACCTCCAACCTCTTGCTTTCGAACCGCGGCGTCCTGAAGATTGCAGACTTCGGCATGGCCCGCTACGTCAGCATCCCCCCGCCGCCAAAGCTCACCCAGCTGGTCGTGACGCTCTGGTACCGCGCGCCCGAGCTCCTGCTGGGCAGCAGCAGGTACACGTCGGCCATCGACATGTGGTCGCTCGGTTGCGTGTTCGGCGAGCTGCTCACCAGAGAACCTCTGCTGCAGGGCAAGAACGAGGTGGACGAGCTGGCAAAGATTTTTGAGCTGTGCGGGATACCCACCGAGGAATCCTGGCCGGGGTTTCGGCGGCTTCCCAACGCGAGGGGACTGCGGCTGCCACCATCAGCAGGCGGCGGCGCCGCCGCGGGCTCCATCATCAGGGCAAAGTTCCCCCTGCTGACGCTTGCCGGAGTTTCGCTGCTGAGCAGCCTCCTGGCGCTGGATCCGGAAAGGAGGCCGACGGCGAAGGAGGTGCTGGACCACGAGTACTTCAGGCAGGACCCGAAACCAAAGAGCGAGGCCATGTTCCCCACCTTCCCCAGCAAGGCCGGCCAGGAGAGGACGAGGAGGAGGGAGACGCCCAACGCTCCCGGGAGGGGAGAAAAGTTGGCAGACCTGGGGCAAATAGACTTTAGTGGGATATTTGCCGGACGGGAGATGGAGGAAAGGGGAGGAGGTTTCTCGTTGAGGATGGTATAGATATCATCCTCATATCCCATCCCATCCCATCCCATCCCCCGTTTTCTGAAAAATATATAATGAAGAATAAAAAAAAAGATCAATTCAGGAGTGACCTTGTGAAAATATCTAAGGGAAAAAAAAAAGGGGGTTGTGGGGGGGGGGGGGGGGGGAAGGGGGGGCAAAAATTAGGTGGTTAACAGTATATGAGAAAAAAAAAAAAAAAATATAAATTTTATCATTTTTATTTAGGTCAACAAAAAATAAAAGCCTAGGAAACAAAT